ACTTCCATCCATTCCTTTTACTTCAGAATCCGTCTTGACGGTCCTTACCGCATCCGGGTAAACTCGTCTGCCAAGATAGCATCCGTGTTTTGTCACATGACTCCCATTCCCGGATGTGGGGATGGCGGATGGACGCTTGTCATGAAAATTGATGGACACAAGGTATTTTGGGGTTAACTTTTGCGCAGTTGATATCTGAGATTTTTTAGGTATCGATGAATCCATGAGTGCTAGATCTAAGGACCTGGTGTTCAAGATGTTAAAAAGTGCCTGAAACCCCGGAAACGATTAACTTTACGTTCACTGCAGTGTGTTTTCAACGAACAAAGGTATGTCATCAATATTACTCTTAACAACTAAAAGAAAACAGTGCAACGCCCTGATTTTCCCTCTCTGTCCCATATTTTCTTTTGTAACGACTTTATTATGTTTTGTTGTGTGTCTGTTTGGATATAGATCGTAGATGACGTCAAGATGTGCGAAGAATAAAAACGTGGAAAGCGAGCCGTGGGCACGCGGGTCTATCAATGTTTTTGTAACCAAATTTTGGTGTCCTCTGTGATTTTTAACCAGAGGACGTCGGGAAAATATAATCTATTCGTCTCAAACAATGAACAGGAAAATAAGAAGAAGGAAAATTGCGAACGAATCAGTTAAGACTCGGTATCTGTTTCTTGTTCGTGAATAGCTCCTGGTTATTTTTTCTTAAGCCTTTACCTGTTGAAAAAATCTACCAAACAATTGTTAAATTGTGCGCCATGTTGGAGAGACGAGGTAAAAAAAACAATTTGTAAATGACTTGAGCTGCCAATGATATGTTTAACAACATTTGTGAGATGTGAGATGTGATATTCAATAAATATGTGATCATAAGAACGTGTTTAATCATAGCGGAGCTCGCAGAGCGTAGCCCCATAATTATACAAAATAGTAGTAACCCATCAAGCCAAAAAATTTGGATGTACGACCGTACGACCGTACGACCGTACAAAGTGCTACTTTTAACATGCGTGGTCAACTGTACCGCGGACACGCCAACACCACGGCTTTGACCAGTTGTCCAGTGGTCAGTGCACTGGGCTCCGAGTCGGACGACCCGGGTTCTAGTCCTGGCCGGGCCAAGGCGTTGTGCCCTTGAGACGTGCGTAAAAAAAAAAAATTGAGCTACGCTTTTAGGCTTGGCTAAACTATATATTATTCTTCATCGACAGCAAACCTTTACGTACTATGCAGAATATTGGAATAACACTGTTGCTTACAACGAGTCTGCTGGAACAAGCCTTAATGAAGACGAAACTAAACTGAGTAGCTTTTGGTCGACACCTTTCACTCGACTGTGTCTGGGCATGAAACGCCCTGCCAACGGCGTAACAAACTGGATTGCCTTGAACTACCCTGCCTCATCTCTAAGGGATGTGATAGGCGACGGAACATTCCGACCAACAAATCTGAGTGTAACAGAATGGAAAAAGCTACTGAATAACTCAGAAATTCAGGTGAAAAGCCTTTACGTCAAATTCCCTATGCAAAGCCAGTGGCGCAAAGTTCAATTAAGAGTAATCCCTCCCCTCTGTTCCTTTGGGGAAAAAAAGAATCATTTATAAACAAGACACGTTTTTCTAATGGGCGACAAGTCAGTGGTAGAGGTGTACGTGATAAAAGGATTTGCTCTTGCATTTACCATCTGAAATCAGGAGAATCTATTACCGACTTACATCTAGAATTGTCGACAAAACTGTTGACACATTGACCTCTCCAACCCTTATCACTTCAATTTTATATCTTTTTCCCTTGTTAAGTCAACCCATTCGCCCCCTCACCGCTTAAACAGTACAGTGTTGCAACGTGATTTCATGAATCTTTAGCTACGTACAGGAAACATTAAATAAGGGAGGGGGGTCTCATCAATGATTTAAATTGTGGTCTGCACATTAATAGAACCCTTCAACTTATTTTGACGCTTATTGTAGGTTTAATGTAACTAGCATGGGTTTACTTGAACAGTCTATCACATATATATGATAAAAGCAGCGTTGCTAAAACTCCTCGTTACTCCAAATCAGTATACGTAGATAGAACGCGGACTTAGTTGATTATACCACTTATTTGTGTGGTATTCAGTATTATTACTTTACGTTCCATAATGTTATGTATCTTAGCCGTATATATATGGTTGTTCAGGTCATATGTACTGTGTGTACATGTATTTAACGATCAAAGGTTTGTTTACATCGTTCTTTTCTGAAATAACAGTACATCTGATGTTTTTCCTCGCTAGGACGGTTGCCAGATGCAGGGTTTCAATAGCGTTGCCGAGTATCATGACTTCAGTGTCGGTGCTAAGACTCGTATTGGAATTATTGGCTCTTCAGTTCATTGTAATGAAGTTATGCAGAGCAGAATTGGGTTTGGCTCCGCCGGAAGTTTTTACCAAATGGACGATTCGAATTCGTGTGGAAACCAGCTACGCGGCTTAGTATCGATTAAGGCATTTGGCTACATATTTGTTCAGTAAATCTTGAATATGCTAAATTAAATTTCTGTAAGGCCTGTGGTGGGTACATGCATGTAGTATAAAAGTCATCATCATGAAAAACTGCTCATTTCAAGAAAACCGATCACACTTTTGATTTAGGTGGACTTAAATTGATCGTACTACAATCATAGAAAGTTAAAAGAAAGTTACATAAATTATGTAAAAAAAAAAAAAAAAATGAAGATGAATTGCGTGTTTTTTAGTGATGGTGTTCAGAGAGAAATGGTAAGGGAAGTTGGGGGGGGTTTGAAAGGGGAAGAGGGATTTACAAGTGTGCGACGAACGTTTTGGAAATGAAAATTATCATGGGATTTGAATTGGTGTAAAAGTCGCCGAAAGCTATGTCAGAAGGTCTCAGTGGGGTTAACCGTTAGCCATAAAACGGCCAAACAATTTGTCTGTTTGCCGTAAAAATTGACAAATTTTTAATCGTTAGTCGTAAAAAAAAGTTAACCTTAAAAATGAATTTCTGCTGATAGCAATGCAATGATATGAACCGTTAGCCGTAAAATGGCCAAATTTAACCGGTAGCCGTAAAAGCCATCCATCCCATTGAGATACTCATCGTAAAATTGGCTGACCATTGGGAACATGGCAGCGCAGAGTGGTTTCCTCATATCATGACGACTTGCAATTGTTCTCCACCGCTATGGGAGAATCCACAACTGAGTACATTCAATCCTTGAAAGGAAACAACCATAGCTCCATTGATTAGCATTCCATTTTATGTTTTGAATATATTATCTGCATTTTTCACAAAATTAAGCAAAAGGGCAAAACATAACACAAATCCACTCACAATTTCCTTTAGCAAAAAGAAATTAATCTCTTCATCGGTATCCCTATTCGCACTATATCATATGCAGACAAAAGATTATAAACTCTTGTTGCAAAGTAAAACATTCTTACAAAAGAAGGCGTCAGCTTTATTATTATTATTATTACCGATGATTTTAAAATAACACTGGTTTCTTCCTCTGCCTTTGTGCCTGAGGGGTAATCCTCTCAGTTAAAAAGAGCCCTTCCATTGTTCTTTCAGTAATCACACGAGTCTTCATTCTCTGCAGGGGGTGATTTCAGTGAAAAACTTTTAAGTCTTAATAAATTTATTTATCAAAATTGTCAACTTAGTATCACAAACTAATATTGTTTTGTTATGACTGAATTTTACGTGTAAGAAATTCACTTTTCAAACTAGAGATGTAGAGGAAGATATGTGAAGATTGCCATTAAATCATTGTTTGCCGTTTCAAAAAGTGGTCATTTTTTAATCACGCTAATAAGCGTTGGTGGACAAATAGAGTTTTCATTTCCCAAACAGGCAAGTATTTCCGTTCGGTGTTCACAGTAATAAAAAAGATATGGAATAAAATCCGATGTAATGTGATCAACATTGAGGGAGGATCCTCTAGTCGATTTTAACTTTTAAGGGCAACAACAATAACTCCATCCAATACAAAGTTTTATCTCTTCATTATTATCTAATCCTTCCTTTACGCATTTCTTTATCAATTTGTGAAATGTCAAAAATGTTTGACACAGAAGATAAAAGCACAAGTTCACATGTAGAGAAAGCTTCCCAATATAGGAGAGCACCTGTCCTGTGCCTAATAATCGCTAGTTCTTCAGTCTCTGTTAATACAGGAAAATTTCCATTCAAAATAGCTGTTGCGACAGCCACAGTCCGCTATATGTATTTCAGTTTGGATTTGATATTTAAAAATTATAACTAATTGTTTAATGCTGGACACGTTGTCATTCAGTATCAGCCCTTAATAATGATTCAAATATTTGCATCTTGACGATAGCTCAGTAGCAATTGCGTGTGGTGTCTGTTTGTTTAACAAGACGAATTTCATGTTTTCTCCTACATGATGGCCCTCAAATTTTGCAGATATTCTAGAAAATCATCTACATTTTGGTTAATCCGATGCCACATAAAATCTTTTTTTCGTAAATTCTGGCTCTGGAATGTGTAATTTTCCATATAGGTTTGGTTTTTTTAATGAAATTTTGTGGGTTTCGGCCTTAGTAAATTCATTTATAAATTCAACTTCCAACGCTTTGTACATAAATTAAGTGAAGATGACAGAAGTTCATACACCATACGCAATTGCTACTGAGCTATCGTCAAGATGCAAATATTGGAATCATTATTAAGGGCTGGTACTGAATGACAACGTGTCCAGCATTAAACAATTAGTTATAATTTTTAAATATCAAATCCAAACTGAAAAACATATAGCGGACGAAACATGTTTTACAAACTTACAGGTTTTGTCGTTTTCTTCAAATTATTGACAGAGTGGTATTAAACGTAATCATACCTGCAGAGCGTCACTGAATGCTATTGGCTCGTCAAAACTTAATTCGATTTCAGGCCATTGCGAACACCTGTTGTGGAGGAACGGGAAGTTGTGGTGTTCGTCTTCGGAGGTAAGAGAGATTCTTAAACATATTTTATAGCAAACTCATCTCAAATTCGCGTAGCTGCTTTAATAAGAAGGTTTCAATGGGGATAAAGTCACTTTATGGGTAACCGTTAAAATTTTTGGCCATTTAACGGCTAACGGTCAACTCCCTTCCTTTGTGAGTAGAAGAAAATTTTGCGACGAACGGTTGAAATTTGTTACGCCCGATGGCTAAGAATGTTTTGGTCGTTTTTACGGCTGACGGTTAACTCCATTGAGACCCTCAAGAAGCTAAGCTAAAACCAACACTTGTCCTTATCTTTCTTTAGCTCCACAGTGCGCATGGTTGGATTTCATCGGTGCGTCAAACTTCACGAGGCAAAGTTTTCTTGAGAGGATTTTGGTGCTGTATTCAACCGTAAATACGATGTCGTATTTTTGTAAGGTAATTATAATGTTTAAAGAGGAGCCCTGCGCTATATGTCGAAATTAAGTTTTATCAATACCCTTCATCTCGCGCCGTCAATGAATAACAATTTTTGGTATATGCTCTTATTTTAGATATGCTGTCAAGGAACTGAATGAGGTAGTCTTATCTAAACCTGAAACACTTGATACTGATACTGTGGTCAGAAATAATTTCAAAATACTGATATTACTCTTCGCAACTAGCAGGTGAAAAAGGGCGCATGAGACTGCGCCACAGTTGCAGACATTTTTTTGGTGCAACAATGAGCCCAAGATTGCTGTATGCCCCGGCTCAATTCTCACAAAAACTTGTTTCGTCTCTTTTGGCTTGCATCCTAAAGTTAACATATTCTCTAATTTTAGCAGGCAGGTGAAGTGCAGTATACGGGTTGTTCTATCCTTGTCTTTGTCGTTCTCGTTTTGAGCCTCGCGGCTGCCAAAGACCAATGGAGAACAGAAGTTAACATACAAGGCAGGGCTCTCAAGGGTTTCACGTTTAAAATATTGTTAACAACAGCCCCTTACCTGTGTGATGTCAAATGCGAACAGGAAATTACCTGTCAAAGCTACAACTACAACAGAGAAAACAAGATTTGCGAGTTAAATAACCGCACCAAGGAAGCAAGACCAGAAAACTTCATCTCAGCTCCTGCCTGGTTTTACATCCGACGTTTAAATGGCCGAGGTAGGTACATTTACTTGGATGTCAGCACTGTCGAATAATTTCTCGGTCTCCGAAATAGGTTATTAGTAACATCCTTGCTCTTTTCCATATCGGAATATAATTGAGGATGACGGAAACGTACAGAAAATAAGACCTTTAAAAGTCATGTTTGTAAAAGTATTCTGAACAACTAAGAGCTTCTTTACACGAGCCCAGGTTTATTTGTAACAATGTTCACTAGCATGCGGTTCGCTTCAAGATTGACCCAGGTCAGACTCTCTACCTACGAAAAAGCCTGACAAAGTTCGAAATCTATCATGTATAGAATCTAAAACAGTATAGAAAATGAGGCAGAAAAGGTTACGTGGGTGAAAGTGCCAACCGTGTTAGTGCTTAAATAAAAAAAAAAGTTGAGGACATGTAACTCCTTCTAGCCGGAACGACCCGGCTCTCGACAAAGATTACTTAATAGAGAGGACTGGCCCCTTTCACTACCTTCACCCTAAAAACACTTACAAAAATTTGATTGCAAAAGGAGTACCTACCGCAGTGATTTAATCAAGATCGAAAAGCAACCCGGGGTTGCCCTAAGGCTATCAGGGAGTGAAAGTAAATTTACCCGTGTGAGTTGGTTTAGCTTTGGAATTGTTTTTTTTTTAAGGGTGAGTGTTACTTTCAGTTCGTTAGCTCCTAAGATAACTTTTAAGACAGGGATGTCCTCGCACCGGCCATCGTAAAGAATGCACAGTTTGACGATTGGACGAACCATTTCTGTAGTAAGTACTGGTAATGCTGAATGATTCGAGGGCTCTTTACTGAGCCTCAATCGCGCTGCTTTGCACTCCATGAAGGTAATTCGGATATATATTGCTTTACAGTTCCCTTGGGCTCCATTCCAGAACTACCAGCGCAGTCATGTCAGGAAATAAAATTGAGTGAGGGTAAAGACACCGTCAGTAACATGTACTGGCTGGATGAAAGTGGCAAAGGAAACGCTGTATTGGATTATTGTGACATGGCCATCTCAGGTAAAACACTAAAGAAACTGAATAAAATGATTTTTAGTCTAGAGACACTTTTTTTTTACTCCTTGCATGCGCTTGGTCATTCCTTATTTTCCAAGTTCGTCTTTAATTCTTTCATTCCAGGCCGAATTCCTCTTTCCTGTAAGGAGATATGGAAGAACAAAAGGTAAGGCTTTTTTATTAACTCACCGCGATCGGGAAATTTGTCAGTCTGAAAAGTCAGCGGTCTTCTTGCACAAAACCCACTATAGGACGCCTGACACTTCTGAATCTGGGTCAAAAATTTGACAAAAATCCTTTTAATGCAACTTCAGCATAAGAGTCACTTCCATCCATTCCTTTTACTTCAGAATCCGTCTTGACGGTCCTTACCGCATCCGGGTAAACTCGCCTGCCAAGACAGCATCCGTGTTTTGTCACTTGACTCCCATTCCCGGATGTGGGAATGGCGGATGGACGCTTGTCATGAAAATTGATGGACACAAGGTATTTTGGGGTTAACTTTTGCGCAGTTGATATCTGAGACTTTTTTTAGGTATCGATGAATCCGTGAGTGCTAGATCTAAGGACCTGGTGTTCAAGATGTTAAAGATGCCTGAAACCCCTGAAACGATTAACTTTACGTTCACTGCAGTGTGTTTTAAGCGAACAAAGGTATATCATCAATATTACTCTTAACTAAAAGAAAACAGTGCAACGCCCTGATTTTCCCTCTCTGTCCCATATTTTCTTTTGTAACGACTTTATTATGTTTTGTTGTGTGTCTGTTTGGATATACATCGTAGATGACGTCAAGATGTGCGAAGAATAAAAACGTGGAAAGCGAGCCGTGGGCACGCGGGTCTATCAATGTTTTTGTAACCAAATTTTGGTGTCCTCTGTGATTTTTAACCAGAGGACGTCGGGAAAATATAATCTATTCGTCTCAAACAATGAACAGGAAGATAAAAAGAAGGAAAATTACGAACGAATCAGTTAAGACTCGGTATCTGTTTCTTGTTCGTGAATAGCTCCTGGTTATTTTTTCTTAAGCCTTTACCTGTTGAAAAAATCAACCAAACAACTGTTAAATTGTGCGCCATGTTGGAGAGACGAGGAAAAAAAAGCAATATGTAAATTACTTCAGCTGTCAATGATATGTTTAACGACATTTATTTGTGAGATATGATAGGAATAACTAAATGTTGCAATTGATATTCAATTTTCGATATTCAAGAAATATGTGATCATAAGAACGTGTTTAATCATATTCTTCATCGACAGCAAACCTTTACGTACTACGCGGAATATTGGAAGAACACTGTTGCTTACAACGAGTCTGCTGGAACAAGCCTTAATGAAGACGAAACTAAACTGAGCAGCTTTTGGTCGACACCTTTCACTCGACTGTGTCTGGGCATGAAACACCCTGCCAACGGCGTAACAAACTGGATTGCTTTGAACTACTCTGCCTCATCTCTGAGGGATGTGATAGGCGACGGAACATTCCGACCAACAAATCTGAGTGTAACAGAATGGAAAACGCTTCTGAATAACTCAGGAATTCAGGTGAAAAGCCTTTATGTCGAATTCCCTATGCTAAGTCAGTAACACAAAGTTTAATTAAGAGTAATACCTCCCCGCTGGTCCTTGAGGAAAAAAAAAGAATAATTTATAAACAAGACACGTTCTTCTAATTAGCGACAAGTCAGTGGTAGAGGTGTACATGATAAAAGGATTTGCTCTTGCATTTACCATCTGAAATCAGGAGAATCTATTACTGACTTACATCTACAATTGTCGACAAAACTGTTGACACATTAACCTTTGCAACCCCTTATCACTTCAATTTATCTCTTTTGCCCTTGTTAAGTCAACCCATTCGCCCCCTTCTCGCTTAAACAATGTTGTAACGTGATTCCATGAACCTTTCGCTACATACAGGAAACATTGAACGAGGAAGGAGGGGAGGGGTCTTATTAGTGATTTAAAGTGTGGTCGAAACAGGAGTGTTATTTTGCACATAAATCGAAACCTTCAACTTATTTCGACCCTCATTGTGGGTTTAATGTATAATGTAATTAGGATGGATTTACTTGAACAGCCTATCACATGCATATGATAACAGCAGCGTTGCTGATACTCCTCGTTACTCCAAATCAGTATGCGTAGATAAAACACGGACTTAGTTGATTATACCACTTATTTGTGTGGTATTCAGTATTATTACTTTACGTTCCGTAATGTTATGTAACTTAGCCGTATATATTTGGTTGTTCAGGTCATATGTTATGTGTGTACATGTATTTAACGATCAAAGGTTTGTTTGCATCGTTCTTTTCTGAAACAACAGTACGTTTTGATGTTTTTTCTCGTTAGGACGGTTGCCAGATACAGGGTTTTAATAGCATTAACAAGGGTTTTGACTACGGTACCAGTGCTAAGACTCGTATTGGAATTATTGGCTCTCCACATAGATGTAATCAAACTACACAGAGCAGAATTGGGTTTGGTTCCGCAGGAAGATTTTACCTCATGGACGATTCGAATTCGTGTGGAAACGAGCTACGCAACGAAGTATCTATTAAGGCATTTGGCTACATATTTGTTCAGTAAATCTTGAATATGCTAAACTTAATTTCTGTAAGGCCTCTGGTGGATACATGTATGTAGTATAAAAGTTATCATCCTGAGAAACTGCTCATTTTAAGAGAACCGATCACACTTTTGATTAAAGTAAGACTTAAATTGATCGTACTGCAATCATAGACAGTTAAAAGAAAAGTTAGATAAATGATGTTATAAAAAAAATGAAAATGAATTGTGTGTTTTTTAGTGATGGCGTCCAGAAAGAAATGGTAAGGGAAGTTGGAGGGGGGAGGGGGGAGGTGGAGGAGGGATTCACAAGTGTGCGACGAACATTTTGGAAGTGAAAAATCATCATGGAATTTGAATTGGTGTAAAGGTCGCCCAAAGCCATGTTAGAGGGTCTCAGAGGGGTTAAGCGCTAGCCATAAAACGGCCAAACAGTTTAGCCGTTTGCCGTAAAAATTGAAAAATTTTAACTGTTAGTCGTAAAAAGGTTAACCTTGAAATGAATTTCTGGTGACAATAATGGAATGATATGAACCGTTAGCCGTAAAATAGCCAAATTTAATTGTTAGCCGTAAAAGACGGCGAAACAAAACAGAAATCCACTCACAATTTTCTTTAGCAAAAAAATTTAATCTCTTCATCGGTATCAGATCCTTAATCTGCGCATTTCCCTATTTGCACTATATCATGTGCAGACAAAAGATTATAAACTCTTGTTACAGAGTAAAACATTATTACAAAAGAAGGCGTCGGCTTTATCAAGTATAAAAACAGGGCCATCGATCACGTACATAGTTTTCACAGTCTGAAAAGATACTTTGCGAACGATGAATCAGATAAGAATGCCGTTCATCTACGATCGCAACAACAGATCTGTTCAGCATCTTCCGCTGACCTTGTCGATTTGCAGGGGTAATGCCTTCCTAAAAGAATTCCCAATACTCAATACTTGCTCAAGAAACTGGTCATCCCGTCATCCTTACCATTTTCCGTCCCCCAACCCGTTTTAGACTCAATAACCTTTTTACCGTAGCTTTGGAACCAAGCCTTCGTGTATGGATGGGGGTCGTGCGAAATTGTGGCACATACTCGAAATTCACGGTTACAGGTAAGCTATAAGAATTTGTAATAATGCTACTTTTGACGCGGATCATTCATCGGAATAGTCTCCTTGGGAAGAGTTCAAATCCCCCCCCCCCCTTTTCATTTGCATGTTGAAGGCACAGAACGCTAATGAGGTTTCTTTTCCCCGTCGCTCCTAAACTGGGTGGCTTTCAATGAATCAGCGAGGAACTCGACCTGTACTTTGTAGTGCTCTCCATTGGTTTGTATTCATTCGTTCTAAACTTGTTTGGGTTATTGTCAGCAGAAGTTCACGCCTGAGCTTTAAACAACTGGCTGGTTTTTCACTGATAGTTGTTTAATGGAGGTGAAGTGCTCTTCATAAATAGTAAAGTGATGTTGAGAGTTTTAGCTCCTCATTACAGTTCATAGGCTGACTTGGCTTGATTGTTATTTTCAACAAATTAAGAGCACTTCAAGCATGACTGACGGAATTTGCATTCTTTGTTGTTGATGAGAGAAAAAAAATCATCTTGCAAAATAGCCAGGGTAAAGTTGTATGGTATTCTTTGTGTGCATGTAAATTTAATATATTCTGTTGCACAAATAGATTCCCTATTCCGCAACCCTTTAACGGTACGAAATTACTGTGTTGTGATCTCTACAGTTTGGATGTTAGCCTTGCCTTTCTCCAGCTTGGTGTTCTTGATTCCCGGCCAAGAATGCAGTAGGAATGCCATTCGCGGTTATCCTGCTGTTTACTATTTGCGGTTGTAACATCGCAGTTTGGAGAAAGCTTAAACAAGGAAGCGTCTCATCACAACTGCAGAATAGAACCTCGCGAAATAAACGCGTAACAAGAACTTTACTGTTTGTTTCTACCCTTGCCTTGTTTTGTTGGCTTCCTTTTGTTATTTCGAATGGTTTAAGGGGGCTCGGTGTTTCGATACCATGAAGACATGCAATGATTGTCAATTTTCTCAATTTTTCTAACTCGTTTGTAAATCCCATCGTTTATGCATTGAGAATTCCGGAATTTCGACGCGTTTTAGCAGTGTGCTGTTCCACAAAGTACTGGAAGTTGAACAAAGAAGATAAAGAAACTGGAAATAACAAAGTAGACCCTTTGATTCCACTGACACAGAAAAGATCATCAAGACCTGATTCCAGTCCCCCACAGCTGAAGTTTGATTATGTAAATACAGAAACCAAATTTATGTTAACCGAATAACGAGACCTATTTGCGCTTCTTAAGTAATGCATTCTTCAGGTCTTGCCTTTTGTTTTGTCCGAGTACTTTTAACTTAAAGCTAAGTTTCTATATGAATCAAAGACAAAACGTATTATACTTGAGAAATGGTTGATATATTTTCCAGTAAATCCCAGTGTAACACTTTTAGTATTTGTCAAATAAATCAACGTAGAAAATATGTTTTACGATGTTTATTTGTCAGGCAAAGAATTTAGAGATTGTAAGCCAGAAAAGAATTAATAATCAATGCTTCTCTTCCATGTGCACTTCAGTTTATTTTTTTCGAATGATCATTAAGCATTATGTTGATCACCGATGATTTTAAAATAACACTGGTGTCTTCCTCTGCCTTTTTGCCTGAAGGGTAATCCTCTCAGTTAAAAAGAGCACTTCCATTGTTCTTTCAGTAATCACACGAGTCTTCATTCTCTGCAGGGGGTGATTTCAGTGAAAAACTTTTAAGTCTTAATAAATTTATTTATCAAAATTGTCAACTTTGTATCACAAGCTAAAATTGTTTTTCAAGGACTGAAGTGTAAGAAATTCACTTTTCAAACTAGAGATGTAGAGGAAGATATGTGAAGATTGCCATTTAATCATTGTTTGCCGTTACAAAAGTGGTCATTTTTTAATCACGAGAATAAGCGTTGGTGGACAAATAGAGTTTTCGTTTCCCAAACAGGCAAGTATTTCCGTTCGGTGTTCACAGTAATAAAAAAGATATGGAATAAAATCCGATGTAATGTGATTAACATTGAGGGAGGTCCTCTAGTCGATTTTAACTTTTAAGGGCAACAACAATAACTTCATCCAATACAAAGTTTTATCTCTTCATTATTATCTAATCCTTGCTTTACGCATTTCTTTATCAATTTTTGAAATGTCAAATATAAAGTAACATAGTATCTTACAAACACAGACATTTTGAAACGTAATTTGAGGCAGATAAAACCAAAAGTATTTTCTTAGCGAAAATTATGGCCGCCATCTTTGAATTTAATGGCAGCGGAAGGCTGGGGAGTGAAGTAATTTGTACCAAGGAGGTGAGCGACAGTCGACTCTAACTCGAAAAAAAACATGGCTGGTTAAATAAACGATCGTGCACTTGTTAACGTTAACCCGCCCGAATAAGACGCTTGCACTTCAGGTTAGGCGCACTTTTAGCTCTCACCTCAATTTTTTTCTCTCGCCTTTCCCCCCCACCCCCCCCCCTCCTCAATGTTTTCATGTGATTTGAACACTTGTTAAGCATTATGTTTGACACAGAAGATAAAAGTACAAGTTGACATGTAGAGAAAGCTTCCCAATATAAAGGAGCACCTGTCCTGTGCCTAATTATCGCTGGAGTTCTTCAGTCTCCGTTGATATATGAAAACTTCCATTTAAAATAGCTGTTGCGACAGCCACAGTCCGCTATATGTCTTTCAATTTGGATTTTATATTTGAAAATTATAACTAATTATTTAATGCTGGACACGTTGTCATTCAGTATCAGCCTTAATAATGATTCCTTTATTTGCATCTTGACGATAGCTCAGTAGCAATTGCGTATGATGTCTGTTTGTTTAACAAGACGAATTTCATGTTTTCTCCTACAGGATAGCCCTCACATTTTGCAGATATTCTAGAAATCATCCACATTTTGGTTTATCCAATGCCACATAAAATCTTTTTTTCGTAAATTCTGGCTCTGGAATGTGTATTTTTCCATATAAAGTTGGTTTTTTAATGAAATTTTGTGGGTTCCGGCCTTTGTAAATTCATTTATAATTCAACTTCCAACGCTTTGTACATTAAGTAACTGAAGATGACAGAAGTTCTGTCGAAACATGTTCTACAAACTTCAAAGTTTTGTCGTTTTCTTCAAATTAAATTAAACGTAATCATACCTGCAAAGCGTCACTGAATGCTATTGGCTCGTCAAAACTTAATTCGACTTCAGGCCATTGCGAACACCTGTAGTGGAAGAACGGGAAGTTGCAGTGTTCGTCTTCGGAGGTAAGAGAGATTCTTAAACATGTTTTATAACAAACTCATTTCAAATTCGCGTAGCTGCTCTAATAAGAAGGTCTCAATGGGGATAAAGTCACTTTATGGCTAACGGTTAAAAAGTTTGGCCATTTAACGGCTAACGGTCAACTTCCTTCCTTTGTGAGTAGAAGAAAATTTTGCGACTTACGGTTGAAATTTGTTCCGCCCGATGGCTAAGAATGTGTTGGTCATTTTACGGCTGACGGTTAACCCCATTGAGACCCTCAAAAAACTAAGCAAAAACCAACACTTGTCCTTATCTTTCTTTAGCTCCACAGTGCGCATAGTTAGATTTCGTCGGTGCGTCAAACTTTACGAGGAAAAGTTTCCTTGAGAGGATTTTGGTGCTGTATTCAACCGTAAATACGATGTGGTATTTTTGTAAGGTAATTGTAATGTTTAAGAGGAGCCCTGCGCTATATGTCGAAATTAATTTTTATCAATACCCTTCATCTCGCGCGGTCAATGAGTAAGAATTTTATGGTATATGCTCTTAATTTAGATATTCTGTCAAGGAACTGAATGAGGTAGTCTTATCTAAACCTGAAACACTTGATACTGATACTGTGGTCAGAAATAATTTCAAAATACTGATATTTCTCTTCGCAACTAGCAGGTGAAAAAGAGCGCATGAGACTGCGCCACAGTTTCAGACATTTTTTGGGTGCAACAATGAGCCCAAGATTGCTGTATGCCCCGGCTCAATTCTCACAAAAACTTGTTTCGTCTCTTTTGGTTTTTATCCTTCAGTTAACATATTCTCTAATTTTAGCAGGCAGGTGAAGTGCAGTATACGGGTTGTTCTATCCTTGTCTTTTTCGTTCTCGTTTTGAACCTCGCGGCTGCCAAAGACCAATGGAGAACAGAAGTTAACATACAAGGCAGGACTCTCAAGGGTTTCGCGTTTAAAATATTGTTAACAACAGCCCCTTACCTGTGTGATGTCAAATGCGAACAGGAAATTACCTGTCAAAGCTACAACTACAACAGAGAAAACAAGATTTGCGAGTTAAATAACCGCACCAAGGAAGCAAGACAAGAAAACTTCATCTCAGCTCCGGCCTGGTTTTACATCCGACGTTTAAATAACCGAGGTAGGTACATTTACTTGGATGTCAGCACCGTCGAATAATTTCTCGGTCTCCGAAATAGGTTATTAGTAACATCCTTGCTCTTTTCCATATTGGAATATAATTGAGGATGACGGAAACGTACAGAAAATAAGACCTTTAAAAGTCATGTTTGTAAAAGTATTCTGAACAACTAAGAGCTTCTTTACACGAGCCCAGGTTTATTTGTAACAGTGTTCACTAGCATGCGGTTCGCTTCGAGATTGACCCAGGTCAGACTTTCTACCTACGAAAAAGCCTGACAAAGTTCGAAATCAGCAAGAGAATATCAATATCTCTTGAGGTAAGGTAAAAAATACACACCTAGTATGATGGAATTATGGAAGGCTATCATGTATAGAATCTAAAACAATGTAGAAAATGAGGCAGAAAAGGTTACGTGGGTGTAAGTGCCAACCGTGTTAGTGCTTAAATAAAAATAAAAGTTGAGGACATCTAACTCCTTCTAGCCGGAACAACCCGGCTCTCGACAAAGATTACTTAATAGAGAGCGCTGGCCCCTTTGACTACCTTTACCCTAAAAACACTTACAAAAATTTGACTGCAGAAGGGTTAACTATCGCAGTGATGTAATCAAGACTGAAAAGCAACCCGGGGTTGTATAATAAGGCCCTAAGGCTATCAGGGAGTAAAAGTGACTTTACCCGTGTGAGTTGGTTTAGCTTTGGAATTTTTTTTTTTTTTTTTTTTTGAGGGTGAGTATTACTTTCAGTTCGTTAGCTCCTAAGATAACTATTAAGACAGGAATGTCCGCGTACCGGCCATCGAAAATAATGCACGGTTTGACGACTGGGCGAACCATTTCTGTTGTAAGTATCGGTAATGTTGAATGATTCGAGGGCTCTCTACTGTGCTTCAATCGCGCTGCTTTGCACTCCATGTAGGTAATTCGGATATATATTGCTTTACAGTTCCCTTGGGCTCCATTCCAGAACTACCAGCGCAGTCATGTCAGGAAATAAAATTGAGTGAGGGTAAAGACATCATCAGTAACATGTACTGGCTGGATGAAAGTGGCAAAGGAAACGCTGTATTGGATTATTGTGACATGGCCATCTCAGGTAAAACACTAAAGAAACTGAATAAAATGATTTTTAGTCTAGAGGCACTTTTTTTTCACTTCTTGCATGCGCTTGGTCATTCCTTATTTGCCAAGTTCGTCTTTAATTCTTTCATTTCAGGCCGAATTCCTCTTTCCTGTAAGGAGATATGGACGAACAAAAGGTACGAATTTTTTTATCAACCCGCCGCGATTGGGAAATTTATCAGTCTGAAAAGTCAGCGGTCTTCTCGCACAAAACCCATTCCCCCATTGGCGCACTTGAGGGACTAGGGTTAGAGGACGCATGACATTTCTGAATCTGGGTAAATAATTTGACAAAATCCTTTAAATGCACTTTCAGCTTAAGACTCACTTCCATCCATTCCTTTTAATCCAGAATCCGTCTTGACGGTCCTTACCGCATCCGGGTAAACTCGTCTGCCAAGATAGCATCCGTATTTTGTCACATGACTCCCGTTCCCGGATGTGGGGATGGCGGATGGACACTTGTCATGAAAATTGATGGACACAAGGTATTTTGGGGTTAGCTTTTGCGCAGTTGATAGCTGAGATTTTTTTAGGAATCGATGAATCCGTAAGCGCTAGATCTAAGGACCTGTGTTCAAGGTGTTAAAAAGTGCCTGAAACCCCGGAAACGATTAACTTTACGTTCACTGCAGTGTGTTTTCAACGAACAAAGGTATGTCATCAATATTACTCTTAACAACTAAAAGAAAACGGTGCAACGCCCTGATTTTCCCTCTCTGTCCCCATATTTTCTTTTGTAACGACTTTATTATGTTTCGTTGTGTGTCTGTTTGGATATAGATCGTAGATGACGTCAAGATGTGCGAAGAATAAAAACGTGGAAAGTGAGCTGTGGGCACGCGGGTCTATCAATGTTTTTGTAACCAAATTTTGGTGTCCTTTGTGATTTTTAAACAGAGGACGTCGGAAAAATATAATCTATTCGTCTCAAACAATGAACAGGAAGATAAAAAGAAGGAAAATTACGAACGAATCAGTTAAGACTCGGTATCTGTTTCTTGTTCGTGGATAGCTCCTGGTTATTTTTTCTTAAGCCTTAACCTGTTGAAAAATCTACCAAACAATTGTTAAATTGTGCGCCATGTTGGAGAGACGAGGAAAAAAAAGCAATTTGTAAATGACTTCAGCTTCCAATGATATGTTTAACGACATTTATTTGTGAGATGTGATAGGAATAACTAAATGTTGCAATTGAATTAGAATCAAAATAATATATTTAATCGCAGTGGTCATTTTCGATATTCAATAAATATGTGATCATAAGAACGTGTTTAATCATATTCTTCATCGACAGCAAACCTTTACGTACGATGCAGAATATTGGAATGACACTGTTGCTTACAACGAGTCTGCTGGAACAAGCCTTAATGAAGACGAAACTAAACTGAGCAGCTTTTGGTCGACACCTTTCACTCGACTGTGTCTAGGCATGAAACACCCTGACAACGGTGTAACAAACTGGATTGCTTTGAACTACTCTGCCTCATCTCTGAGGGATGTGATAGGCGACGGAACATTCCAACCAACAAATCTGAGTTCAACAGAATGGAAAAAGCTACTGAATAACTCAGAAATTCAGGTGAAAAGTCTTTATGTCAAATTCCCTATGCTAAGCCAGTAACACAAAGTTTAATTAAGAGTAATCCCTCCCCGCTGGTCCTTAAGGAGAAAAAAAAAGAATCATTTATAAACAAGACACGTTCTTCTAATCAGCGACAAGTCAGTTGTAGAGGTGTACAAAGGTTTGTTTGAATCGTCCTTTTCTGAAACAACAGTACGTTTTGATGTTTTTTCTCGTTAGGACGGTTGCCAGATACAGGGTTTCAATAGCATTAACAAGGATGACTACGGTAATGGTGCCAAGACTCGTATTGGAATTATTGGCTCTCCAGTAAAATGCGACCAAAGTATGCAGAGCAGAATTGGGTTTGGTTCCGCAGGGAAGTTTTTCTACATGGACGATTCGAATTCGTGTGGAAACGAGTTTGTAGACGAGTTTCAACACAACTTTGTACTGATTAAGGCATTTGGCTACATATTTATTCAGTAAATCTTGAATATGCTAAGGTGAATTTCTGTAAGGCCTGTGGTGGATACATGTATGTAGTAAAAAAGTTATCATCCTGAAAACTGCTCATTTCAGGAGAACTGATCACACTCCTGATTAAAGCAAGACTTGAATTGATCGTACAACAATTATAGACTGTTAAAAGAAAAGTTAGATAAATGATGGTAAAAAGAATAAAAATGAATGGCGTGATTTTGAGTGATGGTGTCCTGAGAGAAATGGCGAGGGAGGTGGGGGAAGGAGGGATTCACAAGTGTGCGACGAACATTTTGGAAGTGAAAATTATCGTGGGATTTGAATTGGTGTAAAGGTGGCCGAAAGCCATGTTAGAGGGTCTCAGTGGGGTTAACCGTTAGCTGTAAAACGGCCAAACAAATCAGCCGTTTGCCGTAAAAATTGAAAAATTTTAACCGTTGGTCGTAAAAAAAAAGGTTAACCTTAAAAATGAATTTCTGGTGACAACAATGGAATGAGATATGAACCGTTAGCCGTAAAATGGCCAAATTTAATCGTTAGCCGTAAAACCAATCCACTCCATTAAGACACTCTTCGTAAGATTGGCTGACCATTGGGAATATAGCAGCGCTGAGAGGTTTCCTCATATCATGTCGACTTGCAATTGTTCTCCACCGCCATGGGAGGATCCACAACTGAGTACATTCAATCCTTGAAGGCAACAACTATAACTCTATTGATTGACATTTCATTTTATGTTTTGGATATATCATTTGCATTTTTCACAAAATTAAGGAAAATAATGCAAAAAGGGCCAAAAAAACACAAATCCAATGATAATTTCCTTTAGCAAGAAAAATTAATCTCTTTATCGGTATCAGATCCTCAATTTGCACATTTCCCTATTTGCACTATATCATATGCAGACAAAAGATTAAAATATTCTTACGAAAGAAGGCGTCAGCTTTATTAAGTAGAAAAACAGGGCCATCGATCACGTACATAGTTTTCACAGTCTGAAAGTTTTCACAACTTTGCGAACGATGAATCAGATAAGAATGCGGTTCGTCTACGATCGCAACACCAGATCTGTTCAGCATCTTCCGCTGACCTTGTCGATTTGCAGGGGTAATGCCTTCTTCAAAGAATTTCCAATACTTAATACTTGCTCAAGAAACTGGTCATCCCGTCATCCTTACCGTCCCCCGTCCCCCGTCCCCCAACCCGTGTTAGACGCCATAACCTTTTCACCGTAGCTTTGGAACCAAGCCTTCGCGTATGGATGGGGGGTCGTGCGAAATTGTGGGACATTCTCGAAATTCACAGTTACAGGTAGGCTATAAGAATGTGTAATAATGCTGCTTTTGACGCGGATCATTCATCGGAATAGTCTCCTTGGGAAGAGTTCAATTCCCCCCTTTCCATTTGCGCCATGTTGAAGGTACAGAACGCTAATGAGGTTTCTTTTCCCCGTCGCTCCTAAACTGGGTGGCTTTGAATGAATCAACTAGGAACTCGACCTGTACTTTGTAGTGCTCTCCATTGGTTTGTATTCATTCGTTTTAAACTGGTTTGGGTTATTGTCAGCAGAAGTTCACGCCTGAGCTTTAAACAACTAGCTGGTTTTTCACTGATAGTTGTTTAATGGAGGTGAAGTGCTCTTCACAAATAGTAACGTGACGTTGAGAGTTTTAGCTCCTCCTAGCAGTTCACAGTTCTGACTAGGCTTAATTATTATTTTGAACAAATTAAGAGCACTTCAAGCATGACTGACGGAATTTGCATTCTTTGTTGTTGATGAGAGAAAAAAAATCATCTTGCAAAATAGCCAGGGAAAAGTTGTATGGTATTCTTTGTGTGCATGTAAATTTAGTATATTCTGATGCACAAATAGATTCCCTATTATGCATATGTGCATCTGTTCAGCAATAGATCACTGATGACGTCAAAATGTGGTAAGAACACAGAAGTGGCACACGAGGCATAGACATCTTCTGTGATCTGTTACTGTACAGACCCTCAGCAACATGGGATCCTATTTGTTTTTTACAATTAAGAAGCAAACAGTCTTCAGTGATGATATCATCTTTGTGCTTGTCCTCAAAATACTTGCACAATTCAGTTTATTATATAATTACTATTACTTCATAGGTTCACCATTCCACTGACATGTCACAGTTGAATGTAGAACATTGGGACAGCAGAAGAGATGGTCCATTGAATGAAAGAAATATGGGAAACAAGCTCAAGTCACAGGGGTATTCATTTACAAAATATGTTTTTGCTCCTGGCACTGACTTTCCTGATCATACTCACGTAATGTCCAAAAAAGACTCCATTGTTTCTGGACAATTCAGGTTTGCCATGTGTGGCCAAGAAGTAATTTTACAGCCTGGAGACATGATTGTTGTACCAGCTGGTACTGTTCACAATGCCTCTGTGGTTGGAGATGAGTCAGTGATTTTCTTTGATGCCTCCAAATAAAGATAATATGAAATAATAAATAATATGATATGGACTGCATGTGGTTTATGCAGCTGTACAGAGGCTGTTGTATTGTAATTCAACTATGTCCAAATCAGTTAATGACTCTAATGTATATAGGATGTATTTTTCAGGAGTATGAAACTCTAGTGGTAAATCATCATTATCTTCATCATTATGTGCTACAAAGGAGTAAGATCTCAGTGTAAGGTAAACATCCCTGTTTCTTTCAAATTGACAGAAGAGGTGATACATAAACTCAGCTAATTTTGAACACAAATTTTTTATTAATTATTATTATTCTAAAAATGAACTATTGTAATAAATTTTGAAAGGCAGATGTTTCTTGTCAGCCCCTTGTCAGGGCCAAAATGAAGATGAATAAAGATAATTTTAACCTTTATTGACCTTGCTTCCACTTATTAATGATAAATCACTAACTTGATGTTTTATGTGCTCATTAGTCTATGATAATAAAGTTTTTTTAAGAAATCAATTGAAGGTTTAAGGTGAAACAGCACATACTTCTGTTGTATCATGAATATGGAAAGAACTGCCAGAAATAGCCTGATATTTCAAAAGTTGTATGTCAGTAAATATCACCTCATACTAAAATTAAAACAACAATTTGTGACCAAATCATCCAAGTCTTGCTTACAGCTGAACTAGTATTCAGCAGCACCACATCAAATGGTCAACCTGTATTGAGTGATCTGTTTTCAAAGTCCTGAATTTGTTTCCTCTTAATCACTGTTATTTTTACCTCTTATAAGCAGTCACTTCTATTGAAAAGACGCTCAGTGATGATATTTTTCAGAAATTACATCGACTCCTTATAAATAAAATCCCCACCCCCACTCCCGGAAATTTTTTATCTTCGACCCACTCCACCGACCCACATCCTAATGAACTCGTAGCCAGTCTTCCTCGCCCATAATAGCTAGCACGAGTTCGGTGGCCATGTGCGTTGGAGACCCAGTGAAAGCTATGTTCCGTTATGTTCCGTCCTTTTCTGGCGTTGTGTGAGTTAAACGTGGACCATATTGAGCAGCATGCAAGGTTTGACTATCGAATATTTCTTTCGTTAAACAGGTCTAATTTTTTTTTATAAAAGAGATCGTTTGGGACACTTTCAAATGCCTTGAAATCCGCAAAGGACTTGAAGGAGTTCTTAAATGACCTTTTGAATCAATTGAAGATGTTAATTCACTCGTGGCTGAGGCACACTTAATTTTAAATCAAACAATGAGATGATTTGTTCTCGTGTGAGTTCTAGATTTGGTGTTATTTGGAGCGAATGCCTCGTGTTCATTTCTCCAATTTCTCAGGGTATTCCACGTGTATTCGGGACATCCCGCAAAATCCATGTGGTTACGTGATGGTGGGAGCCAAATGAGTTGAAAATTTTATATTTCGTGTCGAGATCCGGTGAAAAATTTATCTACACATTACAGAACAGTTTGCTATTAGTTTGTTCTTCCTTTGATGTGTTTGTAGCAAGTTTCTTGTGTGTATGTGCATTGGCATAAATGCTATCCCTCTGCAATCCTTTTGTCCTCTGTGATGCTGTGATCGACGAAAAGCTTGGAGACTCATTTTAAATTTTTAAAGTAGCTGTTATACCGTTATATTAAAGTGTAAGCTCTTCCTTCTGCTCCCTTTAGTTTTCCTTTGGTATTTAATGGAACAATTTGTTTAATGGTCATGAGCTTCTTGGGTTTGTGATCATTCCCTTCATTCTCATGACGTTAATGTTTGATTCAGGGGTGATACTGTTGAGAGAAGTTAGGTGCCTATTACTCTTAGGGGTTAAAGGGTTAGTAAAGCCTTCACTGGAAGCTTTCCCCTTGGTTTGCAGATTTCTATCAAGTAATACATTGGATATCTAATAAAACACATGAGCATATGCTCAATGAGACAGGAAATACTAAACAGTGGTTGTATCAACAAGTTAGCTCTACCTGTCTCATACTTAACAAACAGGCACTGGTGGAAAACTATGTGTATCAGTGAAACCCATAGAGATGTCTTGAAATATGCTATAAAGGTGGTGAAAAATGCTTTATTTATCCTACAAATAAGGCTGGAACTTTCGCCTATGCTACATGAGCTTTGATGCCATGGTCTGTAGATCAATCAAAACTCATAAATTGTATTTAACTGTGGCTAGTTCTTTTGGTAGTGGAACTTCTAATTCTCAGCTAAAATCATTTTTTTCTTTGTGATCCCGTTTATTACTTTGTATTAAAATGAAATTTTGCACCAAGTGATGAGTTTGAATCGCTACATTGACAAACCGTGAAAACTATGTCAAACACTCTAATTTTTTACTGATGGTGCACAGCAGTAATTTATGTAGTTACACCATGATATTAGCTTCTATTTGATCTTCACTCTTGTTATCTTAATACAGGTGCACTGTGCATCAAGGATTTGAGTGGAGGATAACACTTGGTATGTAACGTGACAACCATTGATTTGTCCATGAAAGATACATTGGATCAATATCAGTATCTGGGCAACTGCCCACCTACCCCTCCCCTAACCCAACATTAACCTTAAGTTGTTGTCAATTGATTGTTGTTGAGTTAGGGGAGGGGTAGGTGGGCAGTTGCCCAGATACTGATATTGATCCGATACATTCTCCTTTTGAAGTGTACTCTGTAGAAGTTGTGGAATTATTTCTCATTATGCGTTGCATATTTTTCTTACCTGGATGCAAGCATGAACATGGAAAGCCACCATGGGAAAAAAGAGGCAGAGATCTTTTGCAACATTTTTTTTCTCAGATTTGGATGTCTGTCATAAATTTAAGATGTTTTTCCAAGACAAGAATTTGTCTTCCCAAGCAGACAGTTGAATTTTTTCTTGAATCAAGAATTTTGCTTTGGTTCATCGCAGCTATGCATTTATAGCTGAAAATTCCCATCTGCTTTTGTCTATTAATGCTTTGGCGTAACTGTCAGGGATAATTTTGACCAGGAGTAACTTGTTGTTTGCTACATAATGGGGCTTCTGTTTACCCTTTAACTTTTAAGATTTGATTCTCAAATTCCCATCTAGCCACTACATGTTTCCATGTAAATTATTCTCAAGAATATGGTATTACAGTAGATCAAGATAACAACTCCTACCAAATAAGTTTGAGTATTCTCATTAGTGTGCAATATATGGATATTATGGGGGAGAAGTAACATGTTAATCACTTTTGAGAGTTAAACTTTTAACTCCTAGAAGTGATTAACACGAAACTTCTCTCTATAATATCTATACATTATCAAGCAAAGGGCAAATGAGAATACCCAAACCTATTAGGTAGAAGTTATTATCTCAATCTAATACCAAATTCGCCTAACTTATTTGCCAGGAATTGTCTAAAAGCTGGACTGGAAACTTAACAATCAGATCATGGGAGTTAAAGGGTTAAAGGGTTGAAGAGTGAATTTAATCTGGCCTTATGATTAGAAGTTCATGCACCACTCAGAAATTACTTTGGTGACAACATCAGTATGAGGGCCATGGAGGAAGCATTTTAATCATACCTGCCAACACGTCTGGGTTTTCTCCAAAATGGCTGGCAGATAATTATATAAATCTTATATGAAGTGGTTGTTTTGTTTAAAATAGCTTTCAATGTTTGTACTTTTCCTTCTGTGTGTTATTCCACTCATGCCCAGAAGCCAAGAAATATCTGAGGAGACCTAACAAATAACTGATGTAGAGGACAAGTTATCAAGAGAAATTAGAAGACCCTGGCTGACAGGGTCAAACAAGCAAAGGTCAAGGCTGCAAGGTTGTAAAGGCATTTGACAATGATTTGAACCACAATTTAAGGTAAGAGAGCAAAAGAAACCTGAGGCCAGAAAGGTTTACTCAGTGGAAAAAAATTTTAGCCTTTATGTTCTGCGTGCATAATGACATGTACTGTCTGTTGTCTGGTTACAGGCTCCAAAACTGTCATAGGGAAATAAGATATAATTATTCCTTGATTCTTGTGGTTCATGTATCAAGTGATGAAAATATCCAAATCTTGAGCCCTTTGTTAAGGGTGCTAATGAAGTTTTTTCCGCTTATTATCTGATGATACATGCACAATTTTGATATCTCTGTTTTTACCTAGAGTCATAGAGAAAGTAGATATCAAGCTTGATTATTAATTAAACAGACATGAAACAGTTTTCATGTTGGAGAGGAAGTGGCTTAATAGTTAATGCACTCTGGACTCTTGGTCCACAGATCTGGTTTTGAGACCCTGCATACTCATTGTGTTTTGTTCTTGGGCAAGAAACTTTTTTCTCTGTGCTTCTTCTGTACTGGGAGTGTGAATGGGTACCAGAGAACTGCAGGGGTGGAGGGGGAAGGGGGGGTTGGCATAGACTGGCATCTCTTCTAGGGTTTGTAGCACTACCTACATATTGTTGATTCATGCTTCAAAAACAGGGGTAAGCTAGGCTGGATAAGCTTCTTGACTCTGGTGATGATGTCGAAATGTCAAAATGTCAGTGACCACCACTGACAACAGTCCTTTGCAGGACTGTTTTCAATGAGATGATCAGACCACTGATTTAATAAGAGTGTATAAAACTTGAAACTTGTTAGGTTTCACCCCAGAGGGAATCCTCATAGAAGCCACACAATTTACTTTTTGCCATGCAGGAGACCAAAGTTTGTCATCTTTCTTAATTCTAAGCGTACAAGTACTTTTAGGAACTTGGTCAGTCCTTCCATTTGTCTGTTGTTTCTCTTAATTAAGAAGGCAAGATTTGTATCAACCATTGAGAAGTTGATGAGAATCTCATTGTGATAGTATTACCAATTAGGGAATGAACTTGTGTTTTAGTAGACTGCAGTTTTCATGTATCACCATTTTCTGGTTTATAGGTCATCTGCAGCTTTCTTACCAAGAAGTGATGAATAAAGGAAATCCTTTGTTGAAAGAATGAGCTTTTCAGGAAAAGAAGAAGTTTTTTCAAACAGATGCCTATTAGTTATTCTATCATGTGTAAGAAACTTGTACAGAGATTGGCTGGCCGTTCAGTTGTTAGTTATGGATCCTCGGCAGCATAATGAGCAAAAATATATAATGGCATGAATAAAACAAATGATAACATTTTACTCTATGAATGTATATTAACATGCAATAGTCTTGACAGACTACCAATGGGTCTTACGCCATGAACTGAAGGGGAGGAAGTGATTTTGGAGTGGGTTAACTATGGCAGAGTTGACAGGGTGAAGGTGCAATTTTTCTGACAATTAATTTAACAGATTGCCACAACTCTGACAGTATGTTTGAAGGATAAAAAGTAGCTAAATGAAAAGTAGCTAAACCAAAAGTAGCAAAACG